AATATTTTTGCAAGCACACCGTTGCTGTGGCACCGCCCAGAACGATTGTGATTGGTTGAAAGAAATACAAGCAGCCGGGGCGTTTTTTTCTCCAATCTTAAAGTGAGAGTCGGCGCAGCCAGACTTTTCTTTTCTTGAGGAAGGTCTGGTGAGCAAGACTAGGTGAGCCAAAGACAGATTTCCATCTATGGTGGCCAATAAAGATATATTCTGTTCTATTCATGGCACTGTCCCTGCTGGAAACACAGCAACGTCTCAGTAAAAAACAACTGTTCTTTGTGGCACTATCCTTGGTGGAAACACGGCGTAAGGTTGCTAAAAAACACTCATATTTGGTGGACTAAAAGGCAACTGGAAACACAGCGATGCCTCTACAAAACTACCAGTTTGTGTTGTTTATTGGTCTCGAACAGTGGTCTGTATTGTGGCAGGTGTCTTAAGCTCCAACACATTCTCACTCCGACCTCGTCACATATTGATGTTTTGGTCATGGACCTTCCACGTCCACATATGACGTCCAAGGTACCCTGGGTGTGTTGGTTGTTGATGTTCAGGGACACCGTGTCAACTTCAGCCTGTTACATGCATTGTCTTCTTTCAAAATACACTTCTGTTTTCGCAGGAAATTAATGTTAACATACAGTCTCTTTCAAAATAAACACACTACGGTACAACACTGCAAATTGAGTTTTTTTTCCCTTCAACAACAAACGCATGTGGTTAGGTTTAGGAAACAACATCGGGGTTTGGCTTTAGAATCTTACGGGACATGAACACCGCTCTCCTGGGTGAAAGTCGATGTTTGTTGGACCTGCCCACCCCTTTCGGACTTTCACCGCCTCAACTTTGGTCCTTGTCCTGCCATGTTTCCCCCTGATGCCTCCGGGCGCTTTTAAACTATAACAACAACCGGCCGCATATCATACTGTTAAAGGATGCATTTTTGTTGGTTTCTGACACCGCAAGTCACTGCCCAAGTGCTATATTTCAATGACTTTGGAGTGAGACCGTGCTCGTCTCACCTAGGTGTCACTTCATCCAACATCCCCTCCACCTCCTGATGACAAAGTCAGCTCATGTACGACATCACTTTGGAAACTATATCATACATATGAAACGTACAAACATATCCGTGATTTTAAGAAATGCACAATGCTGACATTGTTTTTTTTTGGCATCTGGGCTGATCTAACACGTGAGCTGCTTTGCCAGATCTCATCAGACTGTACAGATGTTAATGTGTCCACCTCTTGAATAATCCAATTAAAAATACAGATTAAAATCATGTGTAGGAAAGTAATCAAGAAGGCATGAAATGAAGGTTTCCATAATGTTTTAATAAGTTTAAAGAAATCAGTCAAGAGCCAGTGAGAACATAACCAGACATAAATCCAATCAGTGCACAATCAGAGCCTCTAGAGCTGAGAGTCTGTCCTCTGAGTGGCCGACAGTGTCTCACTTCCTCCTCAGTGAGAGCGGCTGCGGCAGCGGCACAGGTAAACGATGGATGGACGGGTCTGTGTAGGTGCAGGGTGAAGGCGGCGGGGAGTTTTCAGGCAGCAGGAGGGGCACATGTAGGAGAGAGTCCGACTGACAGAGGGGAGGCAGGAAATGAGGTCGTCTATCTCTCCTGTAGCTTGCCTCTTGCTGTTTGGTCACTCCCCTGCACCTGGATACAAAGAGCCGCTGCTGCTGTTGGTTGTTTGTCGTGACAGAGTCCTTGTCATTTCTATCTGCAATGCCCAGACTTTGCAACCACTCACAGAGCCGGGCATCTTCCTCTTTCTCAGTGAGTGATGGCACTACATATTTATGTTTCCCGACACAGTCCACCTTAAAGCTCCTCTTTCTCCTCTTCTGCCGCTGCTTGTCTTTGATCGCAGGATCCTGTGATGTCTGAAGTGGAGTCACCCATCTGCCCTGCTTGCCTCTGTCTCTGCCACCAGCTCCTGCAGATGGACAGAGGTGAGAAAACAGCTGTCTGTCCTGCTGCACCCGAGGGCTTGCTAACCATGTGGCTGGAAAACCCCCTGGCCTGAACACAGCTCCTCTTTGTAGATCTGAGTCCACCTCAGGCTGAAAAGCATCCAACACTGTGCCAGACTGAATATCCTCTGAGAGCGCATCGTTGCAACCCAGTGGGCATACAAGTGTACGAGCATGGTGGCCCTTCTGTATGTCATTATAGGTGTGTGTACCTGAAGCTTCAGTGGAGTGTGTGTTTGCAGGCAGCACAGCTTTGGATCTGCAGAATATAGTGCGGAGTCGTCGGTGTGGGGGCAGATTGGCAGAGAGCCCCGGTGGCCCGATGCTGCGAAACAGCGGAGGAGGTCGAAGGACAGAGGAGGGTCTCGAAATTCCAACTTTCCTCTCGATGTTTTTATGCATCCTGTTTGAAAGGGTTCAGATACTTCCTGTGCAGAGATCCACAGCAGTCCAGAGTGAAGGGGATCAGAGAGACCACTACTCTTCACTGATTCACTCTCCAAAGTTTAGTCTCCACAGTGACAAAATGTGGCAAAAGAAAAATAATGTGTCAGCCATACAACACAGATGGAGTCTGACTCTTCATCCTTACAAGAGGATACTTGCAGTCGTCATTACAGATGACTGTACCTCTTAGTAGAAATGGCTCAAAGCACAAGGGTACTCCTGTCTTCATCGTCTGGTCCTGGTGGACATGGTTTACCACACTGACTTCATGCTTCAGTAATCGTCTCGTCTGTCGGCTCATCTGAGTTCCTCTCTGTCCAGTGTGTTGTTTCAGTCTTTTTGAGTCTGACTTCACTGAGCTCTGGATGACACCCGTCTCTACTCCAAACAACCCACTCACCTCCTCTCTCTTTCATCCTGTTGCCCTCTGGGACATGAAAGGCGCAGACCATCGACTATTCCATCTCTAAATAAATCATGAATTAATCATGTGCAGCGAGCAGGGGACATTCTCCATTTGTCAAAAGGAAAAGATCCACACACAACTTATTACATTTTTAATTTTCTATATTCATATTAACACAAACAAAAATGCAAAGTGTTTATCCAGGTTGTGTTATTACAGTTTTACAATGAAATATGTCTTAAATTACATCATCCTGCCCAGAATCCAAAGCACCTCCTGAAATAGAAATTAAATAATTATAAATTGACACCCTAATTATCTTTCTTGCTGAAAGTTAGATGAGAATTGACACCATTTTCATGTCTGTATGCTAAGGATGGTGCCAGAGTCAGGACACAATTAGCTTAGCATGAAACAAAACGTCATCGTCAACTACTTAAAAAGATGCATGCATTTTATTTTATTTTTTTTACATTTTCAAGTCGGATGGAATTAAAATATGTAAGTTAGAGTATCTTAACTAAAATAATTTGACCACTAACTTCTGTGTTAATATGAAGTTGGTTCAACTTAATTAAGTTTTTCTAGGTCAGAGCCTTGTTGGTTGTACTAAAGTTTATCAACCTTATTTTTTTCTTAGGTTGAACCAGTGGATATTTTTTTTAGAGTGAAATGTTTCAGGGGGGTTGTAGATAACACTGAAAATAAAGACATTTTTCAGCATCAAACAATTACATTTGTTTCATTTTTGTGTGTTAAGCCCTTTTCACACAGAGTGCGCAAAGCGTAGACCTCCGCCGACGAACCCATTCAGTGTGTATGTGCTACCGCGGCACAAGAGCGCACCGCTCTGCCGGCACGCAAGAGGGCACATGCCTCGGCGTCTGTGCACCGCCAGCCTGCGCTCGAATTGAAAATGTTTTAATTTCACCTCAAAGCGCTGTGACGACACCTCGGCACGTCCAATAGCAGGGAAGAGCCTGAAGTAGACCCGGAAGCTGTCACCATGGAGCTGTAGCTCCTGAACGAGCCTGTACTCCCCCAAATCCTGTCTTGCGCACCTTGGTGGTCGCCGCGAAAAATCGCGCTCTGTGTGAAAGAGGCTTTAGTCAGTTCACAACTTAGTTTACTAAGTTGTTCAAAATTTAACATTATCTTTGTTTTCTTTACATTTTTAAGTAGGATGGAATTAAAATAAGTAAGTTACAATATATTCAAGAAAATAATTTGACAACTTAATATCACCACAACTTTTGGATAAATATTAAGTTGGTTCAACTTAATTAAACCTTCCAAGGTCAAAGCAAAGTTTGTCAGATTTCAGAAGACTCATAGGACTCACTCAAGACCAGAATTGGAGCTACTTAAAAAGATGCATGCAAATAGTTACCCTTTTTTTTAAGTTGAACCAGAGGATATGTTTTTAGAGTGAAATGATTCGTGGGGTTAGTAGCTAAAAATCTAAATAAAGGTTTTCAACATAAAACAATTTGTTTCATTCTTGTGTGTTCATCAGTTGACATCTTAGTTTAAGAAGTTGGTCAAAATTTAAAAAAAAAAAAAACTTTATTTACAATTTTAAGTAGAATTGAATTAAGATAAGTAGATTAGAATATCTTAAATAAAGTAATTTGACCACTTAATATCGGCACAACTTTTGGATAAATATTAAGTTGGTTCAACTTAATTAAGTTTTTCTAGGTCAAAGAAAATCTTGTTGGTTGTACTAAACTAATTGAGTGTGTCAGTTGGAACTACTTTCAAAGATACATGTAGTGTAAACGGACTGTCCTGTACTTCCTCATCTGACCAGGCGAGGGCGCCGCTCAGAGCGCAGCGGACATGAGAGGCGCTAAAAAGCTGCTCTGTCCCTTTTTCTATCTGCGGCATTAAAGCGGAAGTACTTCACTGGTCCGCCAAGGCCGAGATCACCGCTACCAGAGGAGCAAGGTAAACACTGAAAACACATCCTATTCTTTTATTCCACCTCCGCCGTGTGTGACATTTAGGAGTGTGTTCAGAAACTGTCCGGGCCGAGTGTGTGTGTGTGACACAGCGCGAGGAGGAGACGGAGGGAGAGGTTAGGAGGAAGAGGAGGAGGAGGAGGAGGACGAAGAGGGCAAAGTCATACGTAACGTAGGTTATGGGAGCAAATGAGGCGCCGGGTTAGCAAACATAACAAGCTGTGAAAACACTGAGACTGAGGCAGAGACTAGATGGTAATGAGGAAATATTAATTAAGACACTTATTTAAACTCTGTTTGTTCGTGTGTGTGTGTGTGTGTGAGTGTGTTTTAACAGCAGAGCAACATGGCTTCAGACAAACTGTTAATCAGAGCTGGACTGTAACCAAGTACTTTTACTCAAGTACTTCTGTAGCTGAATACTTCCATTTTATGCTACTTTATATCCTCCACACCTCAAAGGGAAATACTGTACTTTGTGCTCCACTTTAATTATATGAATGTCTTGCTTATAACTGTGTTATATCTGTATAACTGTGCCCAGCCTGCATGGACATAGAAGGCACCATAAACTCATACTAGCCACCAGGACCACAGTGTGGATTATATATTTTAAAACAACAAGATACAATTCACAAACAGAAAACACTCATTCTTGAGAGCTGGGACTAAACCTTATTTCTTTGGGTGGAAGATTAAGTTTTACCCTTGAGTTATGCGGGGAAATGTATTTAAAAAATATTTATTGCAGAAACATATAGTGTAAGAGAGTCCTGAGAGCAGCTGTTATAACTATAATGTCTTAAATGAGGCACTTTATTGTGTAATCTCATATTATACTTGAAGATAAACACTCATTGAAACACTGAACTTTAAAACTATCCATCAACTCAAAAAGGACCTTTTACAAATTGTCACGAAAAAACTATAATGTTGATCGTAGTGAAGTAAATCACAGTCGTATTTATTCCTGGTTTGTGGAGGTCCCAGTGTGGCAGCAGCAGGATTGTAAAGAAAGCAGAGGCTAAATAAGTACTCCAATCAAATCAAATTTATTTATATATCACATTTAATGTTGTACATGCTGTACAAAAGATAAGAGTGACACACAAATATATAGCGATATAACATGTACACAGATATAAAACAGAATAAAACTGGCAAGAACAAATACAAACATGAAAAGATTGTAAAATATTAAAACCACTACGAACAACCAAAGGCCATTGAAAACACGTACACTTTAAGATTCATCTTAAAAGTGTCAATGCAGGAGGAGGATTTAATTGAGAGTGGAAGGCTACACCAGAGCTCTGGAGCAGCTACCACAAAGGCACGATCACAATACTCCGACCTTTTATTCAAGTAAAAGTAGGAGTACCACCGTGTAGACATACTCCATTACAAGCAATAGTCCTGCATTAAAAAATGTACTCAAGTAAGGGCACAGAAGTTTTGCACCAAAATATACTTAAAGTTTACAAAGGAAAAGCACTCTCTATGCAGAGTGGCCCATTTCACAATGATGTAAATTGTATTACTGGATTATAATTATTGATGCATTCATGTGACCATCACTGTCATGTTGCGGGTGGTGAAGATGGAGCAAATTTTAATTACTTACATGTTGCTGGGTACCTTAACCTATAATAATATATCATATTTTGTAGGGATACATAATAGTGTCACATCATCAGTATAAGCCAACATACTATATAATTTATTACTCTGCACAATGAATGAATATTACATACTTTTAAATAGGGCCCGACCAATATGGATTTTTCTGGGGGTGATGCTGATTCTGATAACCGATATATCGGCCGATTAAATTTTTACGTTTTTCAATTTAAAAAAACCCCGAAATACCTGCTTTTGATGGGTTAAATATAGTTCAAACACTCGTTACAAAGATATAAATCGAAGGAACTATTTTCAAATGCATTTATTATCAGAAATTGTGTGGATCAAGCAGCATATGAACGATTTGAACACAAAATAAATCAAAAATATGATGTGCAAAAAGGCAGTAAACCTCTGGGAAATAAAATAATCATGCAAAGTCTATATGAATTAAGACATTCACATGTGTGTTCACAGTACCAGAGTTCTTCTTATTATTGCCAGTTTAACAGAGGTAGGTTATAGTGCAAAAAGTAACACAAGGACATCATTTCTAAGTAAAACACCATATTCCCTGCATTTTATTAGTGATGAAAATATAAGTGTTAAAGCTATAGTGTGTAACTTCTGTGGCCCCTCAGCGGATAATGCATTATTACAACAAATAAGCTGGCACTTCCGTGTACACAGAGTAACACTCACTTTACACCGTGTACACAACGCTACACAAGGACGAACACCAGGCTGCTAACATTACATTACGTTCATAGCACCATTTCCAAGAAAATAATAAAGTACTAGGTCCAGTACATGTAACAGCAACACATACTACTCATAATATAATTATAAACCAAGTCACTTACTTATCCAACAGCAGCAAGGCAACATCCGTGTCTGCCCTCAGCCCAATTTCTTCCTTCAGGGCTCTCCACCGAGGAAAAGTGACGGCAATACAAATCCTTGTTTGCCTTCTCCGTCGGTCACTTTCCTTCTTTGCTAATAGACCTTCAGCCGAACGTCCAGGCTTTTTCTTTGTGGTAGGATCCACTTCTGAACCGTGTCTCGGCCGCTTTTCCGCCATGTTGCTTTCTCTTTCTACCTGCGCTCTACCTCTTGCTATGACACTCTCCGCTCTTCCTCCCCCTCCCTTCTTGTTGTGAGGAAGCATTTCCTGTGCGCCAGCGCAGGAATGTCACCGGTCGACACACAAACTAAAAATGATATATATTGAAAAATACTGCGAGATGTTAGGAGCCGATCGGCTCAATCAGCATTGTGTCATCTCCTCTAGTAGTGGCTTGGGTGAAACGGACATTTACGGACCTGTAGAAGTTACACACTATAGCTTTAACATCGGCACTATAGCTTTAACATCGGCGGCAATCGGCCAACTTTCGGCCGATTGCCGATTACTCTCTAATGGCTATAATCGGCCGATTCAATCGCCCTACTTTTAAAAGTATAGTATTTCATGTCTCCATCTGCTGGTGGGCCGTCACGATAAGAGTATACATGTGTAATATGATGTTAATTCCACTACAGGAGAGACCTGATGATCACTAACATTAGGTGGGGAAAAAAGGAAATATATGTATCAGTTATCGGCCAAACAAGTTGTCATATATCGGCATATCGCACAGCAAAAATTCTAATATCGTGCATCCCCAGTATTAAGCCTTCCTCACAGTGACTTAATGTTTTTCTTAAATAGCTTTTTGTGCAGCTGAAGACTTAAATTCAGACCATGTTATCTGTATATAATAACATACCCAGTTTAATATCCAAGCACAAGGCTTAATTCTAAATTAGCTTCCTGAATCTGTAGACCTGAAAATGACCTCCCGAACGACTTGATTAATTCTTTCAGCCCTAATCCTGATCCTCCTGGCCAGTGACGTCTGCCAGTTTTTAATACTGCTGGTAGACGTAGGTGTTTAATAGGATTTAAGATCCTTTTATTTTAAATTAAATAGTTTTTTTAAAGTTTTTTATAGTTTTTAAAAGATGTCTCAGTGCTTTTTGCTGCCTAGTAACATGAATGAAACCTTTCCTGCCCCAAGGGGAAAATATACGTCACAAAAAACATATAAAAAAAACATCATCTCTGGGAATTTGATGTAGGACATTAGCACCAGTTCCAGACCATGTGATCAGAGCTCATTAAGTAGCTGAGTGGTAAGTGGGACAAATTATGTGGTGCCTCTTTTAGTCCGCACCCTGGGCACGCTTAACCTGCACCCTGAAGGTCAGAGCGCTTATGGAGACCATAAAGAGTGCAGTGGATCTGCTGTGATTTTATGAGCACTGGTCTGTCATGTGATTTTATACTGCACACTGGTTATCTTGCCTCCCAGTTAAACAACCCAGCCCAGTTTGTTCTTGTTTTGCACAGATTCAGATTCAGACACCTTTTATTAATCCCACCAGGGGCCGTTTGTTTGAGCAGCTCTTCTCGCACACAGTGCAGTCGTGCAGTTCATTTTTTCTTCTCTTACTGGTTTCATCATCAGTTCAAAGGCCTATCAGTGCCTTGGCTTTAAAGTCATGATAGAATCTAGTCAAAGCTTGTTTGTGCCTCAGGGTAATGCACATAAATCATACAGGTAAACACACACACACACCCACAGTACGCCATGTGTGTATAGAACAGCTGTAAACATGCAGGCCTTACAGACGCTCTTATGATGCAGTAAAAGGTGTGTCAAACTGTCCTGAAATCACAATGACCTTAATCAACATCCTTCTTCTGTTCGCTCACTCAGATGGCTCACAGGCTGCTAGTACGCAGAATCTGGACGTCCTCTTTGAAAGACATCCGCTGCCTCCCAGTGTCCACTGCCGCCACCGCCTCCTCGTCTACTTTTTCCACCTCGCTGCAGTCCGCCACAAGCCGGGTCTCCTTCCTGTCCCCCTCACGCACTCTGCCTCACTCCCTCCCTCACACTACCCGCCGGGAAGTCTCCTTCAACGTTCAGGACCACGACGACTTCACTGACAGGGTCATCAAGAGCGAGCTGCCCGTGCTAGTTGATTTCCATGCACAGTGAGTATGGCGGGTTGTCGATGATGGTCTGACCTAACAGACCGACTATATGAAAGTATACACTAATTAAAGTGGTTAGATGTAATGTGATCCTAATATGGACTTGAAAAAATGAAGAAATGCATCATCTCCTTGCATCTGAGAATGATGAACATTAAAGTATGATTTCCTTTGATTGGCTCAGTGATTGCAGCGCTACAATCTTGTATGTTAAATGGAAATTTCAGTTTATTTCAACCTGTCTCCTATCTTCCTAAATTTGTTTCAAGTGACTAGTTACATATAAATAATAGTTAGCATGTTAGCTGTTAGCCTAGATACAGCTGGGGCGCATAGTAGCGTCAGACCTGTTAAAACGTAAGTGAACGGGCAGCCTTCAAGTGCAAAGTTAGTCCACTAAACAAGCTTTTTGTCCACAAAGACCGCCTCATATCGTTAGGATAAATGTCAGAGAACATATAGAAAACGACATGTAAACGTGTTGTCTTACCTTACCGGTGTGCTGCCATGTTTGTTTACCATTTAGCTCTGCTTTCCAAAGCGCGGCCGAAATATCGCAAGAACAAGCAGCGATCTCACACTGTGCCTGAAATCTCGCGAGCTCTAGATAAAGCCCAGCTGGATACTACTCCAGGTGGAGGTGTCTCGTCCTCGGTCACATCCAGACCTTGAAAATAAGGCTGCAACCGGTCCCATTCCTTGCAACAGAGGCATTCCTCTTCTGTGGGCACTGGGGCACAGCATTCACAGGTACACCACCAATCTCCAGAGCTACGCAGCCTTGCAGCAGCCATTCCTCCTCTCTCGTCCTCTACCTGTTGTGCCTCTCTCTCTCTCCTCCTCCGTTCTTCAATTTCACGAAGCTCTTCGTCAATGTATTCTGGCTCAAATAAATAAGGGCGGCCATCAAACTCTGCAAAATCAAATTCCTCCTCCACAAAGTCGAAGTCTGGCAAAAAGTCAGCCATTATTCTATAAATCTTTCATAAAATAAATGAATGAACTTTTCAGGCTACTGTCCGGTTCTGCCTTCCAGCTGTTGCTGCTTGTTCTCGCGAGATTTCAGGCACGGTATGAGATCGCTGCTTGTTCTCGCGATATTTCGGCAGCGCTTTGAAAGCAGAGCTAGATGGTAAACAAACATGGCAGCACACCGGTAAGGTAAGACAACACGTTTACATGTCGTTTTCTATGTGTTCTCTGACATTTATCCTAACGATATGAGGCGGTCTTTGTGGAAAAAAAGCTTGTTTAGTGGACTAACTTTGCACTTGAAGGTTGCCCGTTCACTTACGTTTTAACAGGTCTGACGCTACTATGCGCCCCGGCTGTATCTAGGCTAACAGCTAACATGCTAACTATTATTTTTATGTTACTAGTCACTTGAAACAAATTTAGGACGATAGGAGACAGGTTGAAATAAATCGAAATTTCCCTTTAATTAAAGTGATGTAGAAAAAGGATTAAACCAACTCATAAAGATTGTGCAAACAGCATTAAACACACATAGTGGTGGGTTTTAGATTTGATTTTAAAGCTGGCACTGATTTTGCCTTTAAGGGAAGCTTTGGTATTTTTCAACCTGGACCTTATTTTCCCATGTGTTTGTGTCTAAGTGACTAACAGGAACAACAATGATTGAAAGTGTTGAGCGAGAGAGCTTTGACCAGCAGCCATGAAACCGGTTGTAATGTAAACACTCGGGGGGGTTGTGTCCTGTAAATGTACGTCCATTACAAGTGTTTGTTTTTGTCACTGACAGGCTGAAACTACTATTTTAAGTGTCTGATAACATCATGTAAAGGATCCCTACAGAGATGGAGCTTTTTGTTAAACTTTAATGTCATTTTTGTTTAACTAGAAACAGCCCGGAGGTCATCATCATCAAACCCACCAGACTCTGTTTAAATAAACACTAATTTTATCATCGTAAAATACACTTCATTCAGAGTCGACAGCAACAAAAAAAAACTTACAAAAACAGTCCTGGTTCATCTTTCCATTGATCCAACAATTTCTAACCCTTGTTTGGTTGAAATTAAACTTTAATTCACACAGTTTTGTCATGTTCACACCGTTACTCTCACAAGTTTGAACGCTAGAGCATTTTTCTGTTGGCTTTCTTCACACAGGAAATTACTGAATCGATAAATGAACGTCGGCTGGTACGTCCTCTGCGTCATGCATCCCCGGAGGATCTCAATGCTGATTGGTTATTGCGGCACAAATTGGTTGCTGAAGTTCAGCTTTCCCAACTCTTGCGAATAAGTGTATGACGCAAAATCAGGCTTCTCGCTTCATTCACAACGCTTAATTTGCGTATTTCGCGTCACGTTCATCGTGCCGCCTGGCGGTGTTTCGCATCTAATTGCGTCTTTATATTGACTTAATATGTAATTCACTCTCGCAAATTGTTTTATTCATGCCTGGTGTGAACACAACATTAGATGTGAAAATATGCTGACTTTATACACGCTTAAATTGCTATTGATTTAAATGGAGTCTGGTGGGTTTGGCGATTTAGGGGGTGTTTCTGATTGAACAAAAGGATCCTACTCTAAAACAAAAAGGTCTATCTCTGTAGGGATCCTTTCCGTAATGTTGTCAGACACTCCAGAGACAATCTGAGCCTGTCAGTGGCAAAAACAAACACTTTCAGTTGACATAAATTGCATACACCCAGAGTGGTTACATAGGAGCCTGTTTCACAGCTGCAGTAGTCTCGCTCATACTGAACCAATTTTCAAAATTGTGGTTCTCATTAGTTATTTAGGCACAAAAACAAAAGTTATCCTTTAAAATGCTAAGTTTAAAATCATGATTTAAGCTAATTAAGGCGTTTGTCTTCTTTCGTGCTTCTTCTCTAATCATTGAAAAGTTTAAATGCTAATCTAGCTAGGCTGTGTTTTTTTACATAAGTTAAGTGTTCTGTAATTAACTGTCTTGCATGATAAAAACCAGCCGCACTCTCAGCGACCAGGACTGAAGGTCGCTGTGGTGGAGCAGTTTGGGAAATCCTTAAAATCTGTATCAACACTGATGTGTGGGTGTTGTTTTGGGATTTAGGTACCGACCTTGAGACAGACCTTGTTTTAAAGCCGCCCTGCCTCTTTAAATGTCTAGAAGTGTAACATACAATGTGCGTGTGTGTTGCTGTTAAAAATAAACACACATGTACACCACTGACCGGGGGGATTCCACTCTGAAGACATGTGAGGTTACAGAGTTACTGGAAAGAAGCTGCTATATATACTCTGTGCTATAGAGAGGTCTTCATCTCTGTAGCTTTTTAATGATTTCATGCATTCTCATGTTGGGTGTAGACGACAGTATATCTCATCTGGATCCAGACACAGATTAGTCAGATAAAGGGTCAGCTCAGTGTCATCGTGTACTGAGATATGTTCCTGCTGTGACAAGTCAAAATGTCTGCTGTAAAGAAAACACTTTCAGTTTTTCTTTTTACTTTGTTTTACAGTGAAACTTGGTAAAATCCAATAAATACATACCATCATTTTTCATGTTTTTATTGTTAATCAATTATTAAACGTTCTCAAAGCTTAAAAGTTAAATTGTGCCATCCATTTGATCTGGTTTGCTCCTTGTTTTAAAATCATAGTAGCTTTTTCTACGGAGCACCTCGAGGGTCAGATGGTTGCTGGGGAGAAGGACATCTGGAATGCCTCGCTTAGCCTGCTGCCCCCGCGACCTGGCCCCTGATAAGTGGCTGAAAATGGATGGATGGACTTTGACTTTGGATCTGTTGGTGTGTTTTTAGGTGGTGTGGACCCTGTAAGATCCTCGGGCCGAGGTTGGAGAAGGCTGTCGCGAAACAGAAAGGCCGTGTTGCCATGGCAAAAGTTGACATAGACGATCACACAGACCTGGCCATCGAATACGGGGTGAGACTTTCAGTATTTTTGTGGCATTGTTGACTTTGCAATCTAAACTTTGTAGTTTGTGTACAATAATCATTGTTTTTTTTCCTGTGAATTAAAAAAATGCCTAAAGGACTTAATTTAGTACTTGATGTAAACCCATGTTGTATAGTCATAATGTTATTGTCTTGTCTTAGAACACAGTAGCCCTAACCCTAGGTCAGACCAAAGATTTGCATTGAGACAAATCCGTTTAAAAATGGCAGAGAAAAGTTGCAGCGGTGTGCAGCCAATCAGCTTGTAGTGAACCCTGCTAGTCAAGTCAAAATAACCATGAACGCTGTGTTCGCTTGCTGCCACAGCTGCTCTCACACTAAAGCGGTTATGTTTCGTCGAGAATCTTTGGTTTGAACTGGGATTCACACAGATGTTGATTTGGATTTGTTTCTATCTCCGCTGCCGGCTTAAAAGCGAGACAGCTCTTTTCTCCTATTCCACAAACGTACCTTAATACAAAACGGCAAGGCAGCATAATGACATGACATTGCCGCCTTGAACAGGCAGTGTAAAAGGGGTTATTGGGTAGCCCTGGGCCGGTGACAGCCTGAGGAAGAGGCGTAGACACTCTGCATTAAAGACCTTTTAAACAAGAGCTGCTTGGTGTGCCCACTTATTTGTTTTGCGCTGGTCAGGTGGTACTTAGCTAAAAAAATATTTCAAAAGGGTACATTATGAAAAAAGATTAAGTATGGCTGTTATAACACATGACTTGATGTGTTTCCAGGTGTCTGCTGTTCCGACAGTAATCGCCATACGGGGAGGTGACGTTGTCGACCATTTCGTGGGGATCAAAGATGATGATGAGTTGGACTCATTTGTCTCCAAGATCATTGGACAATGAACCAGCTGTCCCCGCCCTGCCACTCACCACCGTTACGGTGCTGTTTTCTATGATCCTGGCTGCCATCTTGAGCCAGTTTATCAACAGCCGACAAATAAACAATCCCAGCTGGCAAACGCTCAAACGCTCACACCCATCCCTAGACACACACTGCTTTAGCTTTGCATTGCGGCCTCTGTCTCCTTCTGTTTTGTGTTTCCTCCTGTTTTATTTTTTGTCTAGAGATGGGTGTGTGCTTCCATTAAAACTTTAGTTCATGCCATGCTCCATTTTGCAGAAGTTTCATTTCTCTCCACAATGTGATGGCTCCTCAGCTCCGCTCATTACAGGAGCAGCCGGGCCGGTTGTGTACGTTTGCTGTAAAAGTTTGTAGAATGGAAAATACGCCGCTGTACTGCACTTATACTGTATAACATGAGGGATGAACGTGTCTAGTTGTAGTGCTGGAGAGGATTTATCTTAAGAGCTGACAATACTGAATGAGGCTTGTGACAGTGTTAACTGTAGTTCCTGCTTTAGTCCACACGGTGGCGGCGTTTCACTAACATCGCTCAGCCACACATGGTCATTTTACACCATTATGCCTAATAACGTGAGAACGGAAGGTGTGTGTGTGCGTGTGTGAGTGCGTGTGTGTATCTGGGTCCTGACTGTGAATCTAACGTCAAGTGGGAATTACAAATCTGAGTTTGATTTAGTTTATTACTCAAATGAACTCTATGTACCGGAAACATGACCAAGTGACATAATAAAGGAGTCAGAAGATGTTCTGTATGTGAATCGTGTTTTTGTCTGTGGTCGGAAAAAATGACAAGGGGGTCGCAGTTTTATTGTCCCTAATGACACTGATGCAATATGAGGCTTTGTACTTCCCCTGTGGTGGTTGCGCTGACAGCACTGGGAGGATGCAGTTTGACTTATATACCTATGGGAGAAAAGGATGGGAGATTTTCACAGGGCATACTACAGAAAACACACCAAGCAGCGGCGAAGCGTGCCCTGCAGCAAGATGCTATGTTGTACTGTATCTATGGAAAGCTGCAGTGGCCGTCTGACTCTGCAGCAAAGTACGAGAACACTAGAAGTTGGGGATAGTCTTGTAGTGGTGAATTGAAGCTAGTAAATGAGTCCTGTGACTCCTGAGACACGTTGACCTATGCTCCAAAAACTTCGCGCCTGAAAGATATGAACACGCCTCTTGGATTTATTGCCCAGATCCTTTTTTTTTCTTCTGTTAGGCTGTTCACATTATTTTTAAATTGAGGTCAACATCAAATTCCAGAGGGAACTGGTCATCGTCCTGAACTGACCCACACTGGATACTAGTTGTATTTATCTTTTATGATAAGAGGATACATTAAATGATAAATTATAATGGTAACTAAAATTGTAAATAATTTGAAAACACACATTTGGCATGTATTGACTTAAATGAAACACACACAGTTTCAGGGTTATTGGGTTAATTGTTTTCATGTGTGTTTGTCCACCTGTGAATATAAGTAGAATATGCACTGATTAATGATTCATTATAGCAGTAAACTGTAGTTTAAAGAATAGAGTGAGACTCGGCATGAGTAAACTGTTTCTGTATTAATTGTAGTATCTTCGTGAGCTTATCGGTGAAGATTCTCAGTCATCCAGGTCATGGTAATCCTCAGGGTTATATCGTAGGCAACCGGACTTTCTTGAGTCATCCAAGAGACTTCTTCAAACTTAATGTGTTTTAAACAGTTGACACTTTATTTTAAGAAGTTGGTTAAAATCAAAAACAGTTTATACAGTTTTGAGTAGGATGGAATTAAAATAAATGAGTTAGAATATCTTAAAAATAAAATAGTTTAATCACATCGACACAACTTTTGGATGAATATTATGTTGATTCAACTTAATTTAAGTTTTTAAATGTTAACGTAAATCATGTTGATCGTACTAAATTTATTTGAGTTTGTCAGCATTAAAAAAGACTTTTAGGATTTACTCTATAAGGCCAGAGTTGGACTGACTTAAAAATTTGCGTGCAAATTGTTAGCTTAATTTTTTACGTTTAACCACTGGATATTTTTAGAGTGTAGGCTACCAAAATTAATTTAATTTGTATTTACAGTATGAATAATTTATATAATTATAAATTGATACTTGGTGTCTGTGTATTGATACAATAATGCTACACAAAATATCGCGATACTATGCCCCACCACCACACGATGCTCAGTCCTATCTAATAAAGCCAAAAACTGATCTTAAAAATAAATATGATGTGCAGTGGAAGCCGGTGCATTCATGAGCAGATGATAAGGATGATGAGGTAAAAGAGAGACACATTTTTAATTATGGATTTCTGTGGAGAACTGGCTGCTATCTTTGTACGGAGGTGTGTGTGGATACGGAGTCAAAGCCAGGAGTGGTGCGATGATCGTGATGTGAATGGTTCCACTGGGACAGATTTCATCCAAAATTTTAGGGTGTTGAGGACCAGCTTTAACAACATCTCTCAGTGCCTCTCCATCTGTGGGTGGTGTAAAAATGAATTCTGATGTGACTGTTCAGACTGAGGTCACATCACAAAAATTCAGGGGGGTAGCTGGGGGATGACTTGTTGGTTTTTTTTGTTTTAATCTTGACCCTCCCTAGAGGCTTCAAATATTTTCCCTTAAGCCTCCATGAGTGACTGGCGGGAAAAAGCATAACCCTCCCTCCACCATAAATAATAATATATTCACACCAAATGCAGATAGTATCAGAGCCAATTAAATGTTCATACAGCACAGACAGTTTTTAAAGAAAATATGCCTTTCAAACCTACAAAATACAACCAGATAGAGAGATATGTCTCTCCCTTAAGCCAAAATGAAAAGAAAAAACATAAATCTCTCCCCAGTGCTTAAAAAATTACTTGATGTGCCTCCCTTGTTTTGCACCATCCTCTCCTGTCTCATAAATAACTTCTTCTGGCGTATGTCCTGACACCTTCAGCTCTGTTGAGGCAAACCAGTCCAGTGTTTCATCATCCAGGTCAATTACACCACAATCGCCATTCGGTGGCCAGTGTTTGGGGCAGCTGGTTATTATGTGCTCCACAGTTTGCAGTGGTCTTAAGTCTGAGTCGTAAGTAGAGTCTTAAGTCTGTCCTCAGGTGGTTGAGGGTTGACCATTGCTTTCGGGGCAGGTGCTGGCTGGGAACATCTGCAGGGTCTTCAGTGTCGTGGTGGAGCCTTGATGGTTCTGCTGACTTCCACTGGTCCCTCCATCGTGCCTTGATCCAGGCAGTCTTGGAGATATCAGATGGTACGGAGCAGTTCTTGCAAACTCAGTGTGACATTTGGCCAACTTTGTATTAGCAGAGAGTGAAGGTTCTGAGACTATAGCATGTGCTCAGGCCTTCATTGTGTCCTTATCCTGTGAGATACAGGCCTACAGTATGTGTAAAAAACACAAAAATCTGACACTGTGTAAAATCAAGAAGGCCTCGTGACCCCCTGTGAAGCTTTAGCGACCCCTAGAGGGGTTGAGACCCCCAGTTTGGGAACCAGTGGCGTACGACAGTATTGACGAACATGACGTAGCTCTCAGTTAGTGTTATCGTATGTCAGTGTCGTACGTACCACGTCTCTCTGCTGTCTGTCTGAACATGTAGGTGTTACTCACCCTGTCACAACCCTCTCATAAGCGTAACTAAAAACGCCCACACACCACCCTCCACTTATCGCTGCCCTCTAAATTACCTCCCTTCTGTCATCCCCTCAAATCAGCAACGTCCACCCTCTCGTCTGTCTCTCTAATCTTCACATCACAATGCACTGAGTCTCTCACCTGATCAAACATCCACTGCCCAACCACCTTTCTCTCCTCCATCACAGTCAGACAGACTCTGACCCTCCGGCACACAGCTGACTGCCCCACTTAGCCTCTTATGTTCAGTTTCACCTGCTGAGTAAGATGTCAGACCACCTGCTCGTCTGTCACCAGTCCAAATGCATGAGATTACTGCTTTTAAACAGTCATACAGACATGGTGTGGGGCCCCAGACCCTTCTGTGGAGGTGGGACCAAGTCATTAGCTGTGTCTCAGTTCAGGGGCTGCAGCTGCCGAAGGCCACGCCCAAGTCAAGTTGCAAGTCTTTTTTTGTTTTTGTCAAGTCAAGCCCAAAGTCATCAAATTTGTGATTCGAGTCTGACTCTCTGCCATGTGACCCTAGTTTATGCCTCTGCCTTTCTGTACTGTAGGCTAGTGGTTCCCAACCTGGGGGTCCCGGCTCCCACTAGGGGTCACTTAAGCTTCATGGGGGAGGTCTCGAGATCTTCTTAATTTTAAAGGGTGTAAAGCCCCGTTTCCATCAAACACTTTCAGTATGGTGCCTTTGGAACCAACAGTAACCCTTCAGACATGGTACCTAGACCCTCGGTGTGTTCAGACAGTCCTCTTAAATGTGGGCGGGGTTGTTGTCACTCACTGCTCCGTCCAGCACTCGCTGTATTTCCTCATCAGCGGTGACACAGATGGAAGTCTGCACCTGGTTTATCGTCCACAGAACGAGGCTGCACGCCCACATTTTCACAACAAAATAGAACAGGCTGCAGTGAGAGTCTCTCTCCATGGGATATTTAAAAATAGCAGCTTTGTGCATTTAGTCCTTCTCAGGCAAGCTCAGGGGTTTAGTGTTGCTGTAGCCCACAGGAAGTGAGGATTAGAATATATGACCTTCACATAATCCGCTCCAAATTAATCTATATTTTTAAAGTCATTACTAAAAGTGTGTGTCATATAAAAACTAAAGTGATGGTCAAAGTTGTCACAGTGAAATTTAAGGTGTGCTGATGGATTCACGTCATCAACTCATGCATTGAGTAACATTACAAGTTAACGTTCCACCTTAAAAGTCGCCGGCAGTCGGCCCAGTGAATGAAGTTATTTTTTCTCAGACTCCAGCTGCTGTGAGAGGCAGCAAAACATCCTTTCATTTTATAGTTACAGTTTACTAATAAAACTCTCCACAGTATGAACAGTGGTTACATGAGCCTCAAAACCAGACACAACTCAGCCCTGAGCAGAGTGACCGTCCTCTACTGACCAATCAGACTGCAGTGTTCACAGCTCCACCTTTTAGTACCAGATCTGTGTGCTAGGTACCCCAATAGAGGGGG